CAAGTTCAGTGTACTCGTAGAGTCGTCATCAGCTAGTTGCAATATACTACCTGAGACCGTTACACACACGCTCTCGATACTTGTGACGGGCACCACCCAAGGTCTTGTCAGCTCGCACATACAAGATCGATATTGCTACAACGAGAGCAAGAGCTAGATGACAGGAATGGGCGTGCCACCAGACCTTAAGTACTGGAGCAGAGGCCTATGCGTAAGCATGACCATAGACGTATGATCAGACCCCATGACGTATGCATAACCGCAAGCATATGACATAACCTTGAGAACAGGAACGGTGAATCCCGTGACAATACTCAATGTTCTTCTGCTCCTGGACGGCAAGGTTCCGTTGCAACCTGCTATTTTTTATACGGAGAGCTAGCGGCTGCTGATGCAACTCCTCTGTGTGGCTCTGGGTAGACATAATCGGTCTCTGCGACAACGGCGGAGGGGCTCTTTTTAAACCTGAGGGCCTCTGGATCGCATTAGAATGCACCTTGCTTCAGGGCAGAGGCGGATGGGCTTTTGACTTTGATTCCATTTCCGGGTGGCATATCGGTAGTATGTAGGGGAAAGTGGCGTGAGTAAAAATAGCTTATAGCTAGGAATGGACGGATTCAAGCTCGAAGTTCTAAAAGTTAATTTTCAAATTCTATAGGTGACTAATCCACGCCGGCATAAATGAGGGGCACTGGGCATGAGATTTAGAACTTGGATTCCGGTGTCAGTGCCTTACAAGAGCCTACTATATAATGCGACGTTATTGCATTACAACAATTACAGAAATTCATCACTCCGCAAAAACAAACCGAAAGAACGTCACTTGGCCAGAGGCGTGTCCTAGGATGAGTGTATGACCATGGACCGCCACACATGTTGCCCGATAGTCGGGAGGAAGCCAAAGCATGTTCTTCCCATTTCTTGTAACCCAATCGTCGCCGACGAAGAGTGAACTGCTGGCGGGTTTCTGGTCTCCAGAGCTGCTTGAAGCGTCGGAGTTTACGCTCAGCAGCCCTCGGTCTGTCTCGAGACATTGACCATTCCTGGAGAACGCCACTGCATTGACCGAGCCGCCATGCCCCTCGAGCGTCTGCCGGTGCGCGCCGGTCGCCGTATCCCAGAGCCGGATGGTCTTATCG